AATATATATCTTTTCATTCGTTACTAAAGAGTCAGTAAGGAGGAGAACTGTAAATAGAGACGCGGGAACTCTTGAAATAAAAGTCATTACTTTAGTCAATAGAGAAATTATTAGAAGTTTCTAATCAAAAAAGTTATTTCGACCATAAAAGAAAAGTGATAAAGAAATGACATAAGTCGCCCAATTTTTATTTAGCAAAACAGTATAAGATGTCACATTAATGAGAATGCCAATAAATTTTATAATGTTATCAAAACAAGATGAATTTGATATCTAATTGATGTGTCAACTTTCAAACTCACCTATTTTAAATATTTTAAACTTTGGTTTATTCAGTGTCATACAAGCACTATGACATAAAGAAACATCTAAGACAATTATTGAGATAGTTGTAGTACTGGAAAAATTATATGAAATCTATTCCTCTACCCAATCCAATAGAATTTTGTTAACACTACGAACATGTATGGTAGAGATAATGAAATCAAGAGGTTCAAACAAATACAAAATTTCCAAATAAAAAAGATAAAGCATATCAACTCAAATTAAATGTGATATCTCTTTAGTTGAAAAAGTGATTCATCGTTTGAATTCTCATTAATATATTAATGGTTGTATGTCTAAATTTTGGGCAACTAATAATGTTAATTTCTCAATGTCTAAATTTTAAAATATGTATGCTAATGTAAATAATGACCAAATCATAGTATTATTGTGTTCTCAAATCACATTATAGGTGTTTTTAACATGAATGGGAGGTAGTATTAGTTATATTTATCTTTTTTTAGTATTTCACTTATTTCATAAAATAATCGATCATTTTAATTTTATAATTTAAATTATTAATATATTATATTTATATATTACTTTAAATCTATTATTTTATAATATTTTTATAATATTAGTAAGAAAATTATAATTGATAATTTAGATATTTTAAAAGTAATTTAAATTAAATCACGTGAAATTAAATCAGATATAATAATATTAAATTGGATTTTTTTAATTATTTATTTAAAATTGAATCGAATCGTGAATAATTTTATCTTTGTATTACATAAATTTTTAATTGGCGGAGTGAGATTCAAATTCAGATAATTGCTTTTAATTTTTTTTGGTTCTTGTAATGTTGACCTTGTTTCTTTAGTTGTCTTTTTTTTTTTTTTAATTTGAATTGAGTTTGTTTGATAAGATATATTTTTAAACTTATATTTTATAAGTTCTTATGATATTTTAGATTTATTTGATAACGATTTTTTGATCGTGAGCTTATAATTTATTTTAATAATTTATAATTTATTTTTAAAATGTTATTTTAAATAATATTTTAATTTATAGTTTATATTTTTTTATCCGTATTATTTTAATAAAAAATCATTTTTATTCTCTATAATTTATTTTAATTTAGGAAAACCTCCCTTAAACAATATCACTGAATTAAGTTCTAAAATGCTCTATACCAAAAAATAATATTTCAAAATAGTAATTTACAGTAGATGAATTAAGTTCCAAATAGTCATATCTTACATTCTAATTTAAATTTGCGTTAGATAACAAAATTTCATACAATTCACATCAAACGACTTAACCATCCTCTTAATTGCTAAATATCATATAAATGAGTCTTTCAATATCCTCTTAACAAGCACAACAAATAAAAATATAATGCACTAATTAACTCATAATTTGAGTTGATTTGTGATGTGATATTTTTCCATCTTCTCTGGTTTTAGGATTTCCCTCTCTTTCAGAGGAATTTTGATTCTCTAGTATTATTTGATTTGAGAGAGAAAAACCTTAATTGGTGGATATTTGCATGAAGGAAAATTTTATAGCATGAATATCTATGTTAATTTTCTTCTTTGTTGAAGATGATGAAAAAAGAACAACTTAATTAAAGCATAAAAAGAGTGAAATCCAGTGTGGTAACTTATATTGAAGTTATATAAATTTATTTAATCTAAAGGACAAAAATAATGGTACACGAGTGAGACATTTAATTAAACTCTCACCCTAGATTTCATCTAATTATGTATTTGCCTTTTTTATTTAAAATTAATGTGTTTTTCAAATATATTTTTACAATATAGTATCAAATAATTATTCTACAACTATTACATATTTAATTACTCAAAATACTACATGAACAAACATAAATGTTTTAATGCAGAAAAGTGAAATGATTTATTGAAAACAACAAATTTGTTCATAAACTTTATTAAGTGGGGGTTATGCCCCAATGTAATCTAAATAGCTCCGTCTCCTACCTTTCATTTCCTTTTTTTCCATTTTTTATAAGGTCTAGTCTTCTTCTATTCGAAAAAAAAAATTATTCATAAAGTTTATAAAAAGTAAAAATTATTTTATATCTCTCAAAAAATTTATTTTGAAAAAAAAGCATATTTCAAATTTTTATTTTTATTCTCAAAAGTACTTGAATAAAATGGTAAAAGATCTCTTTTAACTTAATAAGAGATATTGAATTTGAATTCAGTTTGTTGATAAAGTCAAAAGTTTCTGAGGCTATTACTTAGAAGCATTGTTGCTCAGAAGCAGTAGAGCTCTGAGTTTGTTAGCCATAAATTATAAGCTTTTGAGATTGGTTAGTTAGAAGTAATAATTAGATGTTTTCTAGAAGCTGTTAGTATAACTATAAAACATATTTTTGTTAAGGCCTATGTGACTGGTTATTTTGTGTATATAAACAAGTTTGTAGCTAGGGTTTTAGTAAGGTTTTTATAATAGAACTTTTCTTTCTCAACAAGTTTGTTACAATCGTCTTTCTATCTCTTCTTCCATCTTCATTTTCATCTTCAATCTTATGCACCAACAATTGGCATCTAGAGCTCCAGTTCGATTCACAGGGAAACACAAGTGTACGTGAGGCGTGTGCGATTGATTTTTTTGTTTGAATTCGTGTTGAATTCACCATCAAAATCGTAATAGAATTGTATTTCTTGATTTTGCAGGATCGGGAAACACAAGTGTTTGATGAGATCTGAGTTTGAGTTTTAGTGCATAAAACTAAGATGAGTGGCAGAAACATCTCGAATATTAAGCTTTCGGTGTTTGATAGAAAAAATTGGAATTGGTGGATGATTGAAATGCATGTGTTGTTTGGTACTCAAGATGTTCTTGATCTTGTTACCAAAGATTACGTTCTGGTTATAGCAGATGCGACAAAGGAACAAAGAAACACGCAGAGAGATATGAGGAAGAAAGATCGGAAAGCATTATTCTACATCCATCAATGTGTAGATGCGAACATGTTGAGAAAATCGTTAATTCGATGACGGTGAAGGTTGTGTGGGATATACTGACATGGTGCTACAATGGTGATGCATCAGTGAAGAAGGCGAAACTCCAATCTCTACGTAAACAATATGGGAATATCAACATGAAGAATAATGAGAAGGTACCAAATTACATATCTAGAGTGATTCTGATCACAAATGAGATGAAACAGTATAGAGAAACTCTTTCTGAACAAGTAATCATTCAGAAGATATTGAGGTCTTTTACTCCTCAATTTGATTACATTGTTGTAGCAATTGAACATTTAAAAGATCTGGACACCATGAAAATTGAAGAGCTGGAAAGCACTCTAGAGGCACAAGAGTTGCGTCTGACTGAGATAACCTCTGAAAGAGAGGTAAAGTAGGCTCTAAAAGCTTCTTTTGTCAAGAAGGACCAAAACAAGTCTTGATCATAGGCCAAGAAAAGACATGGGGATTCTCAGAAGTCAGAAGCCTTCTACTCTTATAAGAAGAAACATCAGAAGAGAAAGGAGAAGCTTGACAAGAGAATGGTTTAGTGTTACTGTTGTAATAGGTTTGGCCACTTGGCTAAAGATTGTTGGTCAAACAAGGAAAAAACAAACACAGTCAGAGGTGATTCTGATGATGAGCATGTGCTATTGATGGCTTATGAATCTGATGAGGAACCTGTGCGATTGACGGTTTCTGGATCTGAAGAGGATTCTACCTCTAAAGATGAGTCAGAGTCAGAAGGAGACTCTGAAAATAAGTCAGAGTCAGAAGGAGACTCTAAAGATGAGTCAGAGTCAGAAGATGATTCTGAAGATTCTGAAGATGAGTCAGAGTCTGAAGGTGACTCTGAAGCAGAAGATGACTATGAAGACGAGTCTGACTCTGGAAGTGAAAATCTAATTTTGATCCAAACTCTCTCTTTGTCTCTCTCTCTCCCTTTCTTTCTTTCTCTCTGTATCTCTTTTCTTTTTGTCTCTTCTTTCATCTTCATTTTTATTTTCAATCTTGTGCACCAACAAGTCTTAGATATGCAACAGTGTTAAATTCTCTTATGAGAGAACTTTATCACCTATAATAGTCCTATCCAATTTGAAGAATTAGCTTTTACAATTATATTCAAAGAATATCCGATTTGTATAAAATAAAATTAATTTTTTTATAAATATAATATAATTTTATTATTTATAATTTAAGACAGAAGGAGTAATAATTTTTCTCTTAATTTTTAAGCTAATTGTCTTAATGGTTTCGTGTTGCCAACCAATAACCTAACAATTTTAGAGTGTTTATTATATCTACAAAGAGATAATTTTGTTTTTTCAAAAAATGATTATAAATTGAGAGAGTTGTAATAGTACGTATATTGGTATCACTATTAGAAGTTAGAAGCTGACGCGGAAAGAGAAAGTCGCATGAGATTGAAATGTGGGGTCGGTCATTTCAATAATGAAGTTGAAGCCTCAATCTTTCATCACCTTGAATATTCAAATCAATCCAAATCCAAAATTGTTGTCATTTCAGAGAACCCTAAATTCTATGTAGCCTATTAGGATATCGATATCCAGTATCTACATCCACCATTGATTCATTCTTATTCCTATTCTCTTTATTACTCATAATTATTCAGTTAAATCAATATCATTTTTTTTTTCAATTTCAAAGTCATCCTTGTTGTATTGTAATCGATTATCAAAAAAGTTGCGAATTTCAGAGCTCAGACTCATCTCAGCTATGCGAGGAGCTGAAGGCGAAGGTGATGGTTGTGCCATCAGAGGCGGTAATATATATTGGGGAAGAAAACACGGCACTGATTTCAAAGGGATTGTTGTAATATTTGCTTGGGTTTCAGTTCCGCAAACCCGTTTAAGGGAATTCGTTGACCTTTACTCCTCTTTGGGTTGGAATTCCCTTGTTTGTTATGCTCATTATCTATCCGCGTAAGTATTTATTCCCTTGCTTGATTTGTCATGGGATGGAATTTGTCGATTTACAAATTGCTAGATTGGTGGGTTTGGTTGTGGATGGATTTTTGTACAGGTTGAATGGTGGATTAACACTGATTAATAGATAAATAGTTGGTAGGAAGTATAAATTTGTCATGTTGAACAGGGAGTAGAATAAGAAAGTTAGTTCAAAGATTGGTTGGGCTAGTAATGTATATGTAGTTTATACTGAGTTTTGAAATTAAGAATATGGGTGTCTTGGAGAGATTTACATTGTTTCTTTATGCATTTCATTTTCATGCCAAAATATAACATTGAATCTTGTAAGACAGTCATGGGTTCAACTGAAAAACTTAGAGAAGTTTGTGATTCATTTTGATGCTGATGGAAATATAAGAGACTAGTCTGAATATAGATTTTTCAACTTATTACCTTTGTTATGTTGCTTTCTTTTCTGGTTGAATTGAAGTGCTATGTGAGAAAGCTTAGTATAGTTTACTTCAAGCAAAAACAAGTTTATTGTAAATGAATATGACATAAAGAGAGTAGAGCATCTTATAGAACTAATATCCAGCAACAGTATATTAAGTACACTCGTATGTGAATGTGGGTTTGTGTTGTATTGCCCAAAATCCATTCTGTCAAAAACTTAGGCGTTCTCATATCATAACCAACTAAATAAATACCTACTAGTCACGCCCTATGTAGCATCGACGCCTCTGAAAAAAGATGTTTCTGTCTCTGTGTCGGACACCTGCACCGACACTTGTGATTACGTTTAATTTATTCATTTTTTCAAATTATTATTGGTTTCGTTGTGTCAGTGTCGGGGTCGCGTTTGGGGTGTCCGTGCTTCATAGGTCACGCCTTATTAAATTTGTATTCACCCGGAGTTATTCGTAGATCGCATAATACTGATGGAATTTTTATACCACAATTTTGTTTTCATCCAGATTCAATAAGGAAAGCGCCGTGCCTTTGGCATTTTATGTTTTTGATGAACTTATCGAGGTTAGTTTTAAAAATTGCAAAACATGCTAAGATTTGTATCAACACTTTTACATGTCAATTTATAGATATTTATTTTGTGACCCTAAATGTTTGGGTACCATTTCTTATTTGTGTCACATTGATAGGTTTTAAGTGAAACGTTGCTTTGGGTTATGCAGGTGCTAAGGACTAGACCATGTCCTGTTGTATTTGCTTGTTTTTCTGCCGGATCAAAAGCCTGTCTGTACAAATTATTTCAGGTGATTTCAGGCATCCAATTTTTATCTTTTGTATTAAAGAATATTATATTAAGTTTTGTATGTTCTTTTAGAGGAGAAATGCTAATGATAGTCGCTTTTCATATAATAATGCAGCTCAGTGAAGGAAGATGTCCAGCTCCACTCAATTTGGTAATACACTTTTCTGATTTTAGGTTTTAAAAAATTATGAATTCTGTCTTCTTTGAAACCTTACTTTCTTCTCTGATTGATAATGATGCTCTCTACCTGTGGCCATTGTGAAATTTATTGATTGATTTATTATTTCCCAGCACGACTGTCAATTGTTTAGGAACTGTATTTCTGGACATATATATGATTCTGGGCCACTAGATGTTACAAGTGATTTTGGCTTCCGTTTTTCTCTACACCCTTCAATTGCAAAAGTGCCCGGCCCATCAAAGCTTGTTTCTTTGGTAGCAAAGTCTGTTGCATCTGGTTTAGATGCTTTATACTTGACTCGATTTGAATCCCAATCAGCTGAACACTGGCAGGCTTTATATTCTTCTGTTGTAAGTATATCTATCTATGACCATCTCGAATGTTTAGCATATGTTTTGTTTTTATTTTCATAAATTAAATATATTTTCATTGCTGTCTTTAGAATTTAGGGGCTCCGTTTCTCATTTTATGTTCGGAGAATGATGACCTTGTGAGATATCAAAGTATCTATGATTTTGCCCAACGACTACGCTGTCTCAACGGTGATGTCAATCTTGTAAATCTGAGAAATTCCTCCCATGTTGGTTAGTCCAGATACATGTTAATTATGTTCTCGCAAGCTTGAACGAGTTTAACAAACTAGTCATAATAGTTATTATTATTTGATTCAGGTCACTACAAACATCATCCAATCCAATACAGAGCTGCTGTAAGCCTTTTATTGGAGAAGGCCGTGTCAACATATTCACGAAAAGTGATACTTGAACGAGAAAGGACTGGTATCGATGGTACGCACGACGAGATATCCGAGTTAATCTGTGATCTGCAGAAAGTTGCAATTAATTCAAATGAAAGCTTTAGAAGAGTTGCAGTGGGGCCAAGTGACCACTTCTTTTTGCCTAGTTCAGCCGAACATACCAACAATGACAGACAATCTGGGATTTCACGCGAGGAACCGAAAGAAGAATCTGTCTGTGTTCCCAGCTTCCCAAGCATCAGCGCTCACAGTGTTCTTGGGCAATTTCTTTTCGACGTTTGTGTTCCTAAGAATGTTGAAGGTTGGGATGTGATGTTTTGTGGGAATCTAAATGGGAGGACGCGTGCTTCAGTGACTAGGAATTCACCTTCCAGAGGCATTAAACGTGTTGGTCGCTCCAGGTTATGAAGGTGAATTCTCTAGAGGATACTTGGTGATAATTTGTTTAAAGGATTGCTAATTGTCTGAGATAGAGGGGATATGAATATGATAGATTTTGGTGTGATTCGACTATCAAAAGGGTGATATGGATAAAGATTGCTGGAGTTATATCGCATTTGATTACCATTGAAATAAACTGGTTATCAGAAGTTATAACTGTTGTAACTCAGGAAAGAGACTGTTAGAAATAAACTGGGTGATGTTTGACTCAGGTAACAGCTACTTAATAGGTTGTATAATTGGTTGAAATGGAAAATGTACTTAGTTGGAGCATGCAAATTTCTGTGTATATATATTTAGGCCTGTCTAACTATGTATAAAAGAAGAATCTTCGGCTGTTTTACTCCATCCTTTCTTATATGAATATTAATCTCTTTAGATGTTAGGATTTAATTGATATGCACTATCGATTAATCATAATCGTTAAATTTTTGCAAGAGCACTTTAATCACATCTAGGGCATAGGCAGTGGAGCCTCGAGTACATCGGCCTCAAATTGGGTGTTTACTTGGAGGCACGGAAGGGGAATAGACCTTTGGTCGGGTGTGCCGACCAACACAAGCCCGGGATTGAGTCGAACACACGAAAGCAATGATGAAACAAAATCATTAAAGACTAAAATGATGAAATAAAATCATTCAAGACACGAAATGATGAAATAAAATAATCTGCAAAGATAAATTATGAATCAAAATTATACAGACAAGAAAGGAAAAATAACATCAATCATAAAAGAAAGGTCGAAGGAGAATATTCATAAAGTGTTTACAATTACAAACACCGAGAGATCACACCATTAATGGCAACAATAAAAATAATTATCTCTTCTTGGGGGATCTTCAAGTCAAGGCATAACAACTCAACTTGGCTCAAAGCATTTTGGAACGAGGCCTACATGATCTTGTGTTGAGATTAATAGAATATTCGAGCTCCTTCTATAACCCCGAAAAATGCTCCTCGTAGGCCTTGGCTTCTTTAGAACGAGCCTCATTCTCATTCGCCAGGGCAGTCTCTGCTTCTGTTACCTTGGTCATCTTCTAAGTCTTTTTTCACCTAAGACGAAAAAGATCGGACCTCCTAAAGAATCATCTCTTTCTCCTTAAACGACCCCTCCAAGAGAGCGATCTTATAGTAGAGAGCAGAAGGGGAAACATATTCCTCTACCTCCTTTTGTGAGGCAACAAATCACTCTCTCACCCCAACCAACTCTTTATGAAGATTTTTTTATTCTATAAGGGCAGCGTCAAGTTGATTCTTCAAGAGCTCCCTCTCCCTCCTCAAATTTCCCACAGCCAAGGCATTCCTCAATCAACATCACCAATGATCATCACAACGGTAACCCGATGCAACTGATAAGCCATTTCGGCCATCGAGTCCGGGAAAGGATATTGTGGAGTATTCGTTGCCAGCGCCTTCTTCCTCTTAATCACTTTTTGAATAAAACCCATGTTCTCTGTGTAACAAAACAAAAGAAAATGCTTATCACAAATATTAAAACAATAGCAAAGGCATATGCAAAAGATAGTTTACTGCCCACTCACCCAAGAGCTCCCTCCTTGCATGCACATCGTTCGTTTCCACCACCGACCGTGTATCAATAAATTGCCTCCTCTTTTGAGGCACATGTATGTTTGATGGGACGCCCCCGTCCTTAAAACCTAGACTCTCCTAGAAATCAATTAAGTCAATTCAACTCCTATGCCTATGGAGTCAATTCTTTCTAAGGGACTATATTCTTGTTCGTAGCCCTCAAAAAGTGATTTTGATTCCAATACTTCTTAAATTTGTCTCCATATATTTCTTGCTCCGGTCTAGAGGGCATAACGAAGGGCCCTTCGAAAGAACGCACAAATTCGAGTGGGAATCACCACTTTAAGGGGTAACTAGAAAATACAGTCTTTGAAATTTTTCAAGCTATCCATGATGACATCGAACATCTTCTTCGGCTTAATTAGAAAGAACAAATCATTCCCCGTTCTACTCTAAAAGAAGTATGTGCAACACTGAATATTGTGAAGAATAACTTCAGAGTTAGTATTCTATCAATACATTTTGGCACATTATTGTTAACTTTGTACTTGGACGCTTTAAAAATTTTAAATTATAATTTTATCTTTTTAGATTGTTTCTGATCTTGAGTTATTCTAGAGTTTTAATATATGTTTTTGATTAATTTTTTAAAGTATCTGCATATTGACATTTGTTCAGTATGTGGGATTAGGGCTGTATTTAGAGCTATAGAATCGAAAACCACCCAAGAATCGGTCCAATGGAGCCGAACCATTGGACCGGCCGAAATGTCTTTTGGTTTGGTAACGGATAAAATTTGTATCTGTATCTAACATGAAGATCTGGACCAAAATATCCAATAAGTAACTGGTAGACATTGATATAAATTCTAAAACTTTTACATGTTCTCATTTTTTCTTTTCTACTTTTTCAGTCACTCTCTCTCGTCTCTCACATTATGTTTTCCTCCATTCCACCTCTCTCTCCTAGGGCTTCATCTCCGATCAACACAACATGTTGACTTTCATTATCTGTTAGAATCATTTGTGTTAAGAGGCACAGTGTGGATTGTTGAAGGATTCAATCTTGTTCGTGTAATATATCCAAACTTTATTCTCTTCCTTTCTGTTATTATATTTTTTTACTTTGTTTGCATGTTTGAGTTATCGAGTAGTTCTCTACTTGGTATCAATTTTGACATAATATTTTGATAGAAAATATTTGATTATGTTGCTGAGTTTTGAACTTCATTAGGGTTCGGCCTAGGGTTTTAATTTGAGGTTGTATTTTGTAAATTTTGTTACTGAGTCCTGAGGTTGTATTTTGTAAATTTTGTTACTGAGTCCTGAGGTTGTATTTTAGCCTAATTATAAATTTTTTTGCTGAGGTTGTTTGATTGATAATAAATTTTGTTCATATATTGTATTACATTATTATTTGTTTCATATTCATTTTTTATGTCATGTCTTTTCAAGATTCTTCATTGACTCCAACCATGGATGATCTTATTGATATAAACATGTTGCTTGATGGGGGAGAGGAGACCATGGATGGAGGAAATATAGAAATTGGTGAGATGAATGATTTGGAACTTCCAGTTTCACTTCCGACTGACAACACTACTCAAAATACACCTATTACTCAAAATACTACTACTACTACTCAAAATACAACTACTCCTGATGGGTAAACTCCTCCGATTTACCCAACTCAGCATTCACATAGCCAGATAAATGCCTTTGGTAAAGCTCCTCGTCCCAAGAAATTTGTTGTTCATACTGAGATGCTATTTATTGAAATGTCTGATGGTACCAAGAAATGGAAATGCAAATGGTGTGGTAAGATTTACACTTATGATGTGAGATGGAAAACTACTTCTAATGGTAAGAAACATTTAGAAAATTGCATTCAAAGAAAGTTGAGGTTGAGAGGTAATACTCACAAAGAGGTTGCATAGTCTAGGTTAAATGTAGGTGTTGATAGTACTCCTAGTTTGGCAACTTGGACATATAATCATGTCAGGGTTAGAGAAGTTGTAACTCATATGATTCTAGGTCACAAATTTCCTTTTGTTGTTATGGAAGGTATTATATTTAATGAGTTTCTTAGATAAATTTATCATGGTATAAAAAAATTACTAGACAACAGGTTAAGTATGATGAATTTGTTGCCTATTGCAAGTGTTTATCGGCAACAATTTTGGTAAAACAATGACTTGTTAATGTTTTGCTAAATATCTTAATATTTGGAGCAAAACTGTTTTGAATGATGTCAAAGCAGATGTCTTGACATCTGCCTACTAAACTGATCTCAGTCCAAAATCAGTTAAGTCTTTTGTTTCCTGATTTCCAACACTCTATAACTCAGAATTTGTGAACTACAGGTTGCAAAAAATATGGAGGAATATTTTTCAAATTGCATAATTGTATCTTAGCCTGTTTTTATGGAAATATTCAAAAGATTTGAATATTTGTTTTCAAGCCCAAGCCCAAAGCTGCGCATATATAAGGACTCGCTTCCTTATTCAAAGACAAACAATTTTTGAAGAATAATACTTTCTTTCTGATTATAAGTTTAGGATTTTTATTTGTAATACACTCTAAGTATTAGTTTAAGTAATTGATTTGTTATTTGGGTTGTTAATTGTGTATCATTCATAAGCTTTTAAGCATTGAATGATTGAAGTGTTTCAAACTTATTAATTATGTAAGTGATTGAAGGGATTTGAGGATGGCCTCATACCTAGGTGAGTCTTAGGTAGAATTTTAGCTTGGATAGTGATTAAGTGATTAGATCGTAAACTGGTTATTTACTGAGGGTCTATGAATTGATACTATTTAGTGAACTTGTCCCTGGCTTGGTAGCCCCCATAGTAGGTTTTGTTGTAGACTGAACTGGGTGAACAATCTATTGTGTTTTTATTGCTTTTGATTTTACTGCACCTTACTTTCAAACAAATATTTGTGTCGTGACATCTCTTTCTACATCACATATCTGATACCAGAATTTCAATTGGTATAAGAGCAGGCATCCTGCTCTTTATCTGGGTGAGATCTAGGGAAGATACTTTCTGGTTCTATGGATAGGGAAGGAGGATTTGTGAACAAACCACCCGTTCTGGATGGAAGTAATTATGACTACTGGAAACCCCGTATGGTTTCCTTTTTAAAATCCTTAGACAGCATGGCCTGGAAAGCTGTTTTAAGAGGATGGAAACACCCTGTCAAATTGGGAGAGAATGGAGAACCTACTGCTGAACTAAAACCCGAAGAAGATTGGTCTAAGGAAGAAGATGAAATTTCTCTTGGAAATTCTAAAGCCTTGAATGCTATATTCAATGGAATTGACAAGAATATTTTCAGATTGATAACTACTTGTGAAGTTGCTAAGGATGCATGGGGAATTCTTCAATATACTCATGAAGGCACATCCAAAGTTAAGATGTCAAGACTATAGCT